TGGATGCTGAAATTTCTTCCCAAGAGGTTAGTTTACCCTAATTCCATAACCATTATACTGAATTTCATACTATGCATTTTTTGCGAAGTGAATGGGTACTGAAATATATTTTGTACATTCTAAATTTTTGTGAAGACATATGTTCTATGCCTGTATTGCTGTATGGCTGTTTCTTTACTTCCATGAGTACTCCAGCAACTGGACTCTTTCCAAACAACATATAAAATGATCCTCACCCAACAGTTAAGAATAACCTACTTTGTCACAAAGTTCACCAGCCTGGTTACTATGACCATTAAGGAATCATGGTAGAAATATATGAATCTATGTTTTCTTCCTGTTTTCCAGTTCAATTAGAGTTTACTGATCAATGTGGATTAACCATCCACCATTCCAAATGCCCAGTTATAATAAACATATATTAAGCCAATAGCTCATATGCACATAGACAAGGGGATAAAACTGTGGACCAGTCCTACCAAGGTACCCAAAAGAGTAGGATTTTTCAGCCGAGGAAAGAAACCATAGAACCAATTTCCAAACATTGTAGATCAAAGAACAAAATTGGGACACTAAACAAACTCCAAGGGATAAGGCATAAACAATAACATTCAAAGCTGAATCACTTATTCCAGAAGCAGCTCTTGACCACACTTCCTGATCTTAAAATAATCTCAGAATTCATTTATATTCTAAACTCGAAAGTGGTATAAGTGTTTTGCAAAAGTAATGAATGTTTAAATATAGGGTTCCCAACATTTATAAGACCTGCGGGAACATTCATTTGTTTTAATGACTGGGCAGTAAAGGAGAAATTTAATAAAACATCATGGCAATTTATTAAGATTGTTGTTAACTTACTATTGCATACAGATCCACATGTTGCATAATAATTTATTTAATAAATGTTAATTTTTGACAGCAACTAATTTTTCATAATGCTAGGTGACAAAATATTACAAACATTTATACAAAACACACTGAAGGAGGGACTGTAAGCAACTTGTGGATTGAGTACCCACACTTTAAGACACAAATTACATGTACACTGTGAACATCTGGGCAAATGGAGTTTAGGAAATGATGCAATTATGAACCACACATCCTTCTACTACACCACTTAAATCAGCTGCATTCTATACTATCAACTCTTACATTAAATGCCCTCTCTACACTACATTTTGGTTTCAGTATACAAGTGGGCATTTATTTAACTTCATTACTTTCAACCATGTTAATCTAAACCTTAAATTAAGTGGCATAAGACTGAAGTCTAGTCTTTCAATGCTACAAAACTGTGTGGCCTGCATTAAGAAAACAAGTTAGAGAAAGAAAATTATAATGATGCTGACCTATATAAAGAGAGAGTTATACTAATGGTAAAGAAACAAGGCCTCTTGACCCACCCAGTCATGTGACAAACAAGTGGTGCCTAGAGAGCAGGGGAAATTTTTTATTTCAGTAGAAATTACAACCTCCACTACAAAATTCCACCTCAGACCTTTACTACACAGGACCTGCTGAATGAGAGAATAAAATATCATCAGAGGTATTGAGTTTTCTTGCATCACTTCAACGATCATATGAACAACAGCACAAGCTGAGTAGCATCTGAGGCATCATTACTTCCATTTTAAGCTACTGAATAGTAAAGAAATTACTTTTCTTTTTCTTTCAACTGTTCATGTACAATGTTCCCTACATCTTCTATTCATTGTAACAATGTAGGCTCTGAAAGACTGGTGTCTGGGAATTGCTTAACTTTTTCAAGACACAGTTCTTCAAGAGTTGCTATGAAGCATGATTTGAAAACTTCATTATCTGTGAAAGGCTTTCATTCCTTCAGTAACTTTTCAGCCACTTTCTAAATGGAATAACCCCAGTTCTGGTTTCATTGCAATGTCTTTGAAATATATTTTGTTGTTGACACAAAGAAGATTAGAGTCAGTTAATTCTCTTTAACTTTCAGGTAGTAAAAAGTTCAATGAAATACTTATAATGCAGCAAGCTGACTAGAAAACCGTAAACAATGGCAAAAACAAGTCAACTGAAAGATGCTGTGTAGTTAAAAATATTATTCCAGGAACTATGCAACACAATGACGCTGAAGCATAATAAGCAATGGCTTCAGATTAACTAACATAAAAACAACAAACTAAAACACACTATAAAAGAAGGTTTTCAAAACTTTATTGTAAAGGTGTTGTCTGTTAGCTTTCAGAGTTCTCAGTTCAAGGTGTTAGTTTTAATTTTACATTATAGGCCTACATCTACACAAACTGTTTCATTGAGTATTTTTTTGTAATTGTTTACTCCTATGTGTAGATAATATATATATACCAGTTGCAAAAGAAGAAGAAATATACACACATATTACAGAACACTAACCTTGTAATCGATCTCCGTGTCGTGTACACTTAACAGACAGCACCACAATATCTGTTCTCACGATTCAGATATACAAAGTGGTGGAGGGTTGACTGAATTCTGAGCAACACAGATCAATTTTGAAGTGGTACTGGAAATTCAAGAATGTGCCTAAAGTGTGAAATTGGTAGACACATGAATTTGAAACCATGCCTCCAGCACAACTAACAATTAAAAGAATTCAAGATAAATTTGAGATGTATGGAACTGTGAACAACATGTGTAAGAAACGATCTGGTAGACCATGCACATCAAAGAGCGTGGACACTTCAAATATGGTGTTACAGCAGTTCACATGATTGCCAAAGAAATTTTTAAGGTGATATGCTAATGAGAGCAGGATTTACAAGCCAAGTGTACACTGGACTCTGAAAACAGCAAAGGCTAGGGCCACACAACCGTACAAAGTACGTCTGTTGTAACATACGTCAACAGATACACGCGTGCTTTACCCTATATGCCCCTTCATAATTCTATGACAGACGTTGTAACGCACATCGTGACGTCAGTCATAGAATTATGAAAGGACATATAAGGCACAACACATGAAGCACACGTGCATCTGTTGATGCACGTTACAACGGACATACTTTGTACAGTCGTGTGGCCCCAGCCTAAGTGGGAATACTATGTGCCAAGACTATTGCATGCAATGGCTGAAGATCCTGATAGAAGACTGAAAGTTTGTAAATGGATTCAAAGCAGGTCGGTGAGGATGCACAGTTTCTGGGCATGCTTGTTTGGACTGATGAGGCTATATTTAAGCTGAATGGCACAGTGAGCTGGCATAATTATGCATACTAGTCTTCTGAAAATCCAAATGTTCATGTCAACATGGCAGTAAATTTACCATGACTTTCAGCATGGTGTGAGACCATTCTTCTTTGAGGGAACTGTGACTGCAGCCATGTACCTCAACACGCTTTAAGATTCCACTGTTCCTGCCAATTGTCAGCTGTATGGAGATGAGGACATGTGGTATCAACAAGACAGGGCACCCCCACATTATCATGATGATGTCAGGGTCTATCACAACAACACTTTTCCTGACCAATAGATAGGATGCAGAGGATCTGTTGAGTACCCCCCACAACTGCCAGATTTAACCCCATGACTTTTTCTTGTGGGTTTACTTAAAAGACACAGTGTACATCACAAAGCCAACAACACTTCAAGAGCTCCAGCAAGAAATTGGATGGTCTTGCACAACAATCCCAGCATAAATGTTGGTGGTCATTTGTCAGTCAGTTGCTCATCACTGTCAACTGTGTCACAAAGCTAATGGTGGTCATTTTGAACACCTACGCTAGATTAGCTAATTCATCAAGTGCCAATGCTGATGTACGTAATGGTTAACTTTATTGAAATGTCTATTACAATCAATGAATGTGTGTATACATATTTTGGGGCAGCTGTATTTATATACATGTTCTCCTCAGCAGTAGAAAATTTTTGCCCTACTAGCACTGGCTAATTCCAAAATCATGTGCAAGGACACATAAAAAGGTTATGAGGATCACATTTGACCCGTGGGCTACAGGTCACCAACTGCTGATGTATATTAATAGGCCTTCAAGAAGCATACATAATGTAAACAAAATCTGTACTTACATAATTAATTAAGTTTATCCCAAAAAGATAATTACTCCCACTCCTACTACTAGCACTACTACTACTACTACTACTACTACTACTAAAAGCAGAAGTCGTTCTGCCACAACTAACAAAACAATCTGACTGTCTGTAACAATAATAAATACATGCAATAAAAGAATTTCATGATGTCTGCCTCCAAGTTGTTGTGTTGTGAAGTCTGGCAGAACTTTATCAATGTCTCAGATGTACTTGCAGCAAGCACCTCTGAAACATCAGTGAACTACTGCAGACTACACAGAGCAACAAACCAGAAGACAGCCATCTTCATACTTCTCACCATGAGAATCTGAATCTCACAAAAAATGTCAGATTTAAGTACAATTCAAACCTAAGACCTTCCACATGAGCCAGCTCAGTAACCATGACTAAAATTATATTTTATAACTTCTATATTTCCAATGCAAAGCGATTATTTAATGCCTACTTACTTCCCACCCACCCTGTAGATTCTACACAACAGTGAAGTAGGCTTTATGAGTTCTACCCATACACTAACAGTGATTACCACTAATTCTAGTGTAGTGTCACAATACTTAGGCATAATATTCCATACATGGAAACTGTTTCTGAATTGTATGTAGTCTCTACTGTATTTGTTTTCTATCAATCTGTTCAAAAGTATGTCTTAATTCATTTATGTTTTGTCCTGATTCTGTAACTGGCCCCATGGCTATTAAGTCAGCATAAACAAAGTGCTTGAAAGGATATATTTTTAAAAAAAATTAAAACATAAATACATGACATGTTTGTGCCCCATGGTTTCGTAAATGTCTTGAAGTTATCCCAAAGTTTAAATATCGTGAAAACAGTTTCATATATTAATATACGTGAAACTGTTTTATAAAACTTTTTATTCAACAAATGTAATGATAATAAGTAAAATATATGCATTTATGTCAAGCAAAGAGTCTACAAACCTCGGGATGTTCATCATCAGGAGCTGGACTAGGATGTTCACTTTGAGTAGCAGCAACATTGCCTTTAACAGACAACCTCTTTGAACCACGAAGCGATCCTGGTTTTCCATCTCCATCTGCTGAAGATTTAGATGCTGTCACCGTCTTTGGACTACCTATATTGAAAGGCAAATAAAGGTAATGTTACATGGAATTAATTTCAAAAGTCATAGACAGAGAGAGAGAGAGAGAGAGAGAGAGAGAGAGATATTATGCCCCTAAATCAACACACACAAACTTCATTTTAGTACTCCTCTTTTATATTGATTATTCTTGAATGTGCTATTCATTTCAAAGAACAGTTAATATATGACATAACCAGTAACCTTTGTGAACAAATGACACTGTCTGTAGCTCAAATTGTAGTGCCAAATGATAAGATGATAAAAGAATAACAAAGATAGGATATGGTAATTTAAGGCACTATCCAGGCATCTGCCTCTAGGGATCAAAATATCCTCAAGCCAATTTATCTTCAGGCCCAAGATTTGAACCCAGGATCACCTGAATGCAAAGTAGGAGTACTAACTACTCAAATGTGAAGTATTGTGCCAATATGGCATAACACGTGCTTGATGTGCACATGCACAGCACAAACACAAACTAATGTGCCTGATTATTCTCCTCCACAACTGCTCAAGTCATGCTCCCACAAAAATATCAATATTCACTGTCCTATTTAATGAAAGAATATACAATGCAATAATCAAAAGAATATTTGATAGTCAACTACAGAAATGTGCAGTCCTTCAGAACAACATTTTTCTTAATGTACCCCACCTCTCTACTGAACTGATTTCAGAGAGGAGCATGTATGAAGTCATGGTATATTTTAAACTGATTAGCATTCACAGTCTCACAGTCACTTTTGAGGGGGCAGGAGGAAGAGATAAATCATTACTTCAAACCTGCTTAAAATACATGCATGCAGCACACACAGAACAAAGGATAAATGCATACAAATTTATACACAAAACTCAGATCACTTGGGAGACCTAGGCATGGATGGGAAGATAATATTGAAATGAATATCAAAGAAAGAGGTTGTAAATTCTATTCATCTGACTGAGAATAGGGTCCAGAATACAGTAATAAACCTTCTGGTTCATAAAAGATGTGGGATTTATTGCCTGGCTGGGTGACTGGACTCTGCTTTGCAAAATTACATTCAGGAACCTAATAAAGTTATACTACATAACAATCATAGTACATATATGTATTATGCATTTACTTGGTCAAATATTATTTAAAATGCACTACAAAAATATCCTTCCAAAAACTGAAAGTGCTGCAATTGTAACAATAAAAAACAACAAAATTAATTTCATAAAGTCTATTTAGAGCATACCATTTGTTTCTGGAACGCCTCCAGGTCCTCCTTCAAAAGTCTCTTCATCAAGAAACTTCTTAGGTTTGATCTTTCGTCCAGACCGACTAACAAGTTCTTGTTTTGGAGGAGACTGTGTCGCAGCACTGAGAGTATTAGAATTTGCATTAGCTCCAACAGCTGCAGCCAGAGATTGCTCTGATGATTTCACAGAAGACTCGCTAGTGTTAGAAGCTGACTTTCGTGACGATTGAATTGAACCCCGCTTTGCACGTTTTGCCTCTGTTTCATGCTGAAAGATGTGAGTTGTTTTAATTCATATAAACATTATTTATATTTTTCATATCCAATCTAAGATAACATTTCCAAAGACAAAGAAAACCTTCTCAAATTCATCTATTTGTTCCTCTCCAAGATATTACTGTTTCTGTCCTATATTTCAGAAACAATTGCAAAATGAGTTACACCTACCTTCTAGTTATCCAGTTTCTTATAACACATTCTGAAACATATTTTTTAAAATGGTTGGAATGATTGACAAGTCTAGCAAAACCATACAAATATATTATCTTCATTCAGTTTTCATGTACCAAGTGGACTGTAGAAATAAAACTGATACTGCACATACCTTGACATACCAATTATACAGCTTCATTGCTCACTTAAACTAACTTGAAAGATTTGAGGTTTTCACAGCTGTGAGTATGAAGATTTCTGTCATCTGGGTTGTTGCGCTGTGTAGTCTGATGACGGAGGCAGTATGACCTCTGAAACGTTGGTAAACATCAACCAGACTACACAGCGCAACAACCCAGAAGACAGAAATCTTCCTAAACTACTAACTTCTTAACCATCACCCCCAAAACTTCACACTGCACTGAACAACCTTCAGCCTCTTCTCTTGACTGTTTTATTATTGTTCTATCCCCACCTCAACTTGCACACCTTGACAAATCAGACCTCCAAACCAGTGTCCAATCATATGTCCTGTCAACCCACAGCAACACAACATCTCTGATTTCCAGTACCCCACACTATACATACACTACACAACAATCTACTGCACATGGCAAAATGTCCTCAATGAGTTATTCATAAAAAATAATCACGTACAGTAAACCCTGTTACAGCACCGCTCTTTGTCAACCTCCAATAAGTGGCAGAAAACAGATAACTCCCCCAATATCTCCAACACAGTGCTTACTGACAAATTTACCCCATAAAAGTGAGAAACTGTTGGACAATTTTACTTCAAATCTGTCTGAAGGAGAAATTATGCTAGACATAGTTTCCAAGAAAAAACATTTCTCCATAGTCTTAATATCAAGTAAAACAGAATAAACGTGTAGCGTAAAGTAGTGTAATCTGAAAGTCTGTCTATGGTAAGTGCTGTTAACAACTTATTCAGCATGAAAATATTGTCTTCTGTGACTGATATAATGCATATATAAAAGACTTTTGCAAGACAAGATTGTTTTCCTGCTTAACAAGTTACATTGTCCCTTAAACAATTCTTAAGAGGGCTCTACTGTGTAAGCCAAACTGTGAATATCATTAGTGGGAATGGTGAGAATTATGCCATTAAATTATCAGTCTAATAATGAATGCACCTGGGAATAAACACTTTACAGCAAATATAATGTTAATGAAGTTTGACAATACACTAAGTAAAACATGATAACATATTAAACTAACCTCAGTAGTGCCTTCACTTTCACGTTTACGTTTTGCAGCAGCTTTCTTTTTTTCATCTGCTGACGCAGAACGACTTTGTTTGCTTGCAGGTGTTGTATGCTGTGGTGTTTCATCAATAACAAGTGCAAATTCATGGTCACTGTCTGCATCTTCAACTCCACCTGTTGGCTTAGTGTCAGAAATGTCCTAAAAAATAAAATACAATTGTGTAATTACAACTCAGTTCTAAGATTTGAGGTTTTCACAGCAGTGAGTATGAAGATTTCTGTCTTCTGGGTTGTGAATATTCATCGCCCTGATGACGGAGGCAGTATGACCTCTGAAACGTTAGTTAACATCGACCAGACTACACAGCGCAACAACCCAGAAGACAGATTTCTACAACTCAGTTATGTACAAAGAACCATGCTACAATAATGGAACTGAATAGAAAGCCTCTGAACTTGGAACAGGGATAAGAATAAGCCAAAAAAATGTATCAATCATTAGCCTACAAATACCAGACAGCTGCCACTAAACACTGTGAATAGCATTATCTGTGTCTGAAGGCCAACTGAAACAACAAGATACTTGAGACACCTTCTTCAAATTCTATTTTACATCTGAAAAACCATACACTTTCTAAATGAAACATTATAAATGCAATCTATATTTGACTTAATAATGCTGTCAGTAGTTCAGAATACACAGCATCAAATCATAGGATAATTAATGAAACAAAAAAAGTTGTCAGTGGAACCACGGTTCCGGAGAATTTGACGTAAATACGTCTATACGGAAAGGAAGTTTATATATTGGCTTTATTTTAAATATTTCCTTTATACATGCTTTACAATTGAGATAAGTTTGATTAAGACATTGCTTATTCAACTTGAATTAGTTACGCTTAAGATGGGTCTGTGGTAGCTGAATGTAATGTAATGTAAAGTAATGTAATGTAATGTAATGAAATGTAATGAAATGTAATGTAAGGTAATGTAATGTAATGTTTTATAGGTAACAACAAGGCCGAGTAAACAGATGACGTTTCCTAGGTAACAAAAATGCTTGAATGCTTAACTTGAATTAGTTACGCTTAAGATGGGTCTGTGGTAGATGAATGTAATGTAAAGTAATGTATTTTAATGTAATGTAATGAAATGTAATGTAACGTTTCTTAGGTAACAACAATGCTGAGTAAACAGATGACGTTTCCTAGGTAACAATAATGCCGAGTAAACAGATGACGTTTCGTAGGTAACAATACTACCGAGTAAACAGACGACATTCCCTAGGTAACCATTGTTACACTTTTTCGTTCCCCTTTTTCGTTTCCTTTTTTTGTTACACTTTTTTGCCGAATGACCCTTCCTTATAGACGTACTTACGTCAATAAATACAGAAGGAAGCAGCTGTGATCTAACTGAACCTTTACCCACCCTGTTAGAAGACTTCCAACTTCATACTTTTCATATACAGATCCTTTCTTGGACCAAATCAAAGATGATGTGGTCATGTCACACTCCAACTCTCACACACACACACGTGTGCGTGCGCATGCACGCATGCGCGCACACAGAAGACATGCATAAAGCATTATTGCTGGAAAATCTGAAGGGAAGAGACTGGTTGTGAGATCTAGGCATAGGTAAGTGGATAATTTTCAAATGGATCTTAAGAAAAAATTGTGTAAGAGGGCATAGACTGAAAGTTGTGCCACGGATTTTTATCACCCTTAAAAAATCTGTCGACCTCGGCCGGGATTGAATCCACGAACCTTTACTTTTATATTTTGCTGTTATATTCAGATTACAATGTATATATATATGTCTACATGAAAGAAATGTCTGCTTCTGTCAATGCCTCTCATACACTGTTGTTATATCAAATCACACTGTTTGTCTGGGGGGGAGTCTGTCTCCATCAGTCTTTCACTCTTTAGATCAACGTGTGATGTATGCCTTGTAAAATAGAAAGATCTGTCTAATATAAACTACATCCTTTGTCAAGTTCCATCTGCACAAACACTATATATAAACAAGTGTATAGTGACATCAGTAAACTTAAAAGTACTGTGGAGGAAGTGGTCATTGTTTATTTCATGGCATAACCACAAAAATCCTCAGTCAGGGAGTCAGGGTAGTCTGACAGAAACTGGGCAGTGTTACCACTTACTTGGCTAAGCATCAGAGACTTGCTTTCTTTCTCCCAGCAACGCAAACAAATAGAACTGCATCTGTGACACAAATATTTTATCCCTCTGGAATGTCCAGGAAGCAGCACTGTACTCGGACAGGCTTTCCTTGTAAAACAATTTTGATGCGTGTGCTGTATGAGTACCTTAAATGAAGCTTCTCAGAACCACAGTGGTAAAACATACTTGTAAAACTGCATGGTTAGGATACTTTCACCTGTGGTTTACCATTCATTCATATGACTACTAGAATATCATAAAGTATATATCAATGCATCCAAAAAAATTCTAGGAATTGAAACAATCACTTGCTTTTGAAGCAGCTATCAGAAGCTTGACCACTTGTGCAATGTATGTATTACTATCACCAAAAACAGAGTGAATTAATTTTAGTACAACAAAGGTTATGTCATGAAGCTAAGGTTATTATTTTATTATTTAGTGTTCTGTCTGACGACAGGTCCATATGAACAGGATCCTTCCATCCTTTTCTCGGACTGGGACCTGTTCATATACGTTCTTGGCAGATGATCCAGAAGTGGTTTGCCATTGCCTTCTTCTGTGTGTGAATGGAGTAATTGTTGGGATGCCACGGAGAAACCGGGGAAGCCCCCGGAGGAAAACTCCGTGTTGCCTAGACCACGGCCTTGCCCAACACAAGTTATAAATTCGGGCACCGCCGGGAATCAAACCCGAGACCCCAGGATTACAAGGCCAGTGTTCTAACCGCTAGACCACCGTGGCGTGTGAAGCTAAGGTACAGTGTATTAAAGAGTTTCTGCTACTCTTAATTCATCCATTTTCTGATATTTAAAATAATTCACAAAGAAATGTGGGATAAGAATGGAAAAGCTGCATAAAATATGCTGTCAGGCTGAATGTTTCAAAATGCTCATGTATGAAAAAACTGATTGAGAAGACAACAAATTTATGCTACATGATTCCCTGCACTTAAAAGTGTTTAAATTCTGATTTAATCTGGTTGTAAGGTTGTGTGAGCAAATCTAAATTTAAAATTCCTGTATTTCAAAGGTGAATACAATACAATATAGTACTCACTGATGCTGCTGCTGCTGCTGATACGGTTGGTTTCTCAGTCACTGCCCCACTCAGTATTTGCTCCACTTCTGCGAGAGCTTCATTAAAGCCTTTTCTTTTCAGTGGTTTACCATATTTTCCTTTATTCTCCACATACAAGAACAAGTCCTCCACCTTGCACACAGCACTGAAAATGTTAGATAAAAGTAGTAGTAGTAGGTATTTTATCTCAATACTTACACCACTCTACTTATGGCTCAGGAGTCACTGGAAATACACCTATCTGCTCTCAAGCTGCGTTATCACAATTCCAGTTTATCAACAAGTTACAGATGGGGACTGGGCCAGAAATGTTTACTTGTGGCTGGCCTGGACATGTTACTTCTACATACTATGTTGATGTTACTTGAGGAATCTTACAATAATTAAGTTTTCAGAAGCATTTCCTTATGTTAGCTAAACGTGGGGTCTGGGATCACAATAAAGAATCTGTTATCTATGGATTCAACACAGTTACAGCAAAGACAGCCATGTACAGACACAGTACCATACTAAAAACATAATAAAATATGTAAGTTAAGATATCAATCAAAAGCATTTAGTAATAAAAAAACCAATAAGCATATTAAATTAATTTTAAGCAATGTCTGCTACCATTCAGTTCACAATCTTTTGTCTCCTGCTTCCCAGCTTGCTACACATAAATATAAACATTAAAATATATAGAAATACAACTTTTGAGTTCCACAGAAACTGAGAAATTTGACTACTTGAGAAATCATCAGCTTCTGAAGGATTCTGCCACATGATGCCTTCCAACATCACAGCACAATGATTTTAAATTTCCCACCATACTGATGGAATAATCATGAACTTCATTGTGTGGGAAAATCGTTTGTTACCTCTACATCTGCTGAAGGTTCCATCGGCAATTCCCACTATTTTATTTTTGGATGTTACGTTCAACTCCAACCAGTTCAACTTTCTGTAGGAGTAATAAGTTGCACACATCCAGTGTTGTCTTAATTGTGGCTATTTTACAATGAGTGCACCTGTCATCAGTTCAATATTTGAACATCTTTATATCAAGGAAGACATTATAAAAGTATTTAATATTGGTCTGATTGTAAGGTGACATTTTTATTAATAATTAGGCTGTAAAATTCAGTAGCCTTATGGTCATAATTGATCACATATCCTTTCCCCCTATACCAAGGATATTTTGTGGCAGTCCCAATGAAAGACAGAAAGCAGCTCAAATAAAGAAACAGTAATGACAATGAATAAACATAATTTCACATACCTTCATTACCTTCTAAAATAGGTTTAACATTTTATACTCTCTTGAATTTACTGTGAACTGAATTATAATAATAGCAATCTACTACAGAAATAAAGACTAATCTAAGACTGTTTTGTGATGGAGACTTTGCAAATGGCTGAACACCCATCCAAAGAATATATTTCAATTTTTAACAGGCTTTGAGAATTCCACTGGTTCTTTCCTAGACCATGACTTACAGCGTACCTTTTATTATTCTCAAATCTTATGACACCGAGGAGTTTCCACTTTTGTTCAACATTTACAATTCCTACAACATTAAGAAGAAACGTGAAGGTTTATTATAGCACAAAACACTGACTTGCTCTTCATTCAGTCCAGTAACACTTCCAACCAGGAACATAACTGCAGAATAAATTTATTTTCTGGATTAGAGCACTGTGTAAGTCTGGTAGAAGTTTACCAACGTTTCAGGAGTCCTTGCCACTTCTAACATCAGGGTGGATGATGGAGGCAGCAAGGACCTTATACAAATATAAATTTTAAGTCATTTATTGGTATAACCAAAAACTTACGTTTCTCCAGTTCCATAGAATGATACATGATACTTGGCTTTATTCACAGTTGCATCTGCTACTCCAACAACCTGTAAAAATAAAATATGTGGCCTTATAATGTCAAATTATTTAACAAATTACAAGATGAAAATATTTCAACATCTGATATGCAAGGACTAGTTAGTTACAAAATAAAACGGAACATACGATGTGTAACTGGACATAAACCTGTTACATTTCTACATAATCACGGTGTTTAGCAAGGCACTTGTTTGTAAACTTCACAATAGTCTGAAACCTGCTGTGTATAAGGTCCTGCGGTTGCAAGCAGATGCACCATTTTGTACTTCTACAAATTATCGAGGTGATATCACTTGGGGATAAGTTAAGGTTGTATGAGATAAGTGCCAGAACACACTATCCTACCATGACAAGGGTCTTGCATCAAATGAGATTTTTATGAGTATTGCTTAGAAGGTACAGAATCTTCCTGGTCTCAATGGTTGTGGATTATATCCATTTGCAAGCTACAGATTGGAGTACAATCTGCCAAGTTACATACAGTGGTGACACAATTATAAGTATTTGACTGATTCTTGGAATTTTTCCTATGTGCTGAGGTATTACATAAGTTTCCCTCAGCTTCTTAATACAAATTCTGGAAAGGCCAAACTCCGGTGACTTCATTCTTAATCAACAAAACTGCTGAGATTTGAGGTTTTCGCAGCAATGGAGATAACATTATTCTGGATTTTGTCTCCCTCTACAACCCTGAAGATGGAGACAGTATGTTTCTCCAAAACAATGGACTCCACTCATGAGTCTACATGGTGCCAAAACCCAGATCATCATCTGCATTGCTGTCATTACTCTTATTAATACTGCCTCAAAACAACTCAATAAATAATATTAGACACATGAACTTACTTTTGCAGGCCATGGAGGGTATCCACGCACTTTGGCAAAGACTTTATCACCTAAACTAAACTTCTTTGACATTCTTCACCACTGATCTTGAAACAACACTGAAACAGTTGAATGTTCTGATTATGAACTTTATAATAACAACAAAAAGAAGTGGTAACAGTATTAATAATGGTAAGAACAATTACTGTAGAAAAGGGCAAACATCTAACAAGCAGTTGGGAAGGACAGCAAAATTTCAATAAATCTTGCAAAAAAAGCCAGTAAGAAGTAAAAATTACATTCATAAACAAACTGAAAGTACAGTGAATTTGGAAAATGCTTGCTATCATTCAATTCTATCTTTCACCTTCTGCCTCCCATCTAAAAAAAGATAATTATAAATTAACACGTTATTCAGTATGGGTATAACACATTTGATCTCTCACACAAAGGGAAGAAAAGGACTAAGAGTGTATGAAGATGGTAAGAAAAATGAAAGAAAAGGAGATTGGATAAAATTCCATATTTGTACATAGCATGATTTTAATATTTAAATGCAAACATTTTCAGATAAATAGAATATAAAATGTAACAACACTAGATTAAAAATATTGAGCACAGTGCTGAAACTAGATTCCACTTAGTTTTCATGCTTTAACAGGAAACAAAAATAATGTCATAAGTTCAGATTTTTAATATGTTTAGTAAAGTTGAGATAATTAAGGTTATGAAGTGTAATACAGCAAAACCCCTCAAGTTGGACACCCCTTTATATTGGACACTTTTAATTGGAACCGGTGAATATCCTATAATTTTACATGTCCACAATACCCTATATCTTGGACACCCCTTTATCATGGAACTTGGAACACCCCTTTTGTTGTAAGTTGGACAGGTTTATGCACTTAACTTTGATGCTTTTCAGGGAAACTTTTTCAGTTACATATTTTGTTATTTTGAATTTCTGACTGATGAGTGCCTCCTCTCTGGAGGATTATCTTATGGACATTGAACCCATCACTGGAATGCATTGCAAGTGTTTTAACTATTCTTTTGCTGAACCCTTAACTGGACTACAGTATTGCAGAAGACACAGTTTTAACTCCATCAGTACTGTGCTTGTATTTGAGTTCAGACTGTGTTAACAGAAATGGAATTTTTGTTTTTACGACAAACGTAAAGTATTGGTGCCCTTCCCTTTGAGCTTATCCATGCAAGTTTAATTTACTGAAAACAAAATTTGTAAAAATTTAATTTACCCTTTTGATTTTTCTTATCAATAATTTCCTTTTTGTGAAGGGCTTCATAATACTTTACAATTACCACATTGTCATTACACCACAATTTTGAAGGATGATCTTCCCCTTTCCCTCTATCTTGGACCCCTCTGTAAGTTGGACACATTTTTGTGGAACCCCAGGTGTCCAACTCAGAGAGGTTTTACTGTACATATGCTTCTGACCTACCTGTCAATGTATACAGGTTTCTATAAAGTTTTTCTAAATATGTTGACTTCCTATACCTCACAACCCAAATTATTGGACCTAACCATCACTTTCCATGTCATTCTGTATCATATAATGTCATCAATGCCGGAACAAGGAATTTGTTTGCTCCCCTCCCTCTCTTCTGCAGAGTGTAAAAAGAAGTAAAAAATTAAGCTCTCAAGCTATAAGCCATGTAGGCACTTGGGGGATGAAGACAGGTGATATAGCTCCTTCTCATTCTTAACCTCAGCACTAGATGGGGGTATCTGGTCAGCATCACCATTACAGCACATGCGAACAGATTTTGAGGCATAATGTGTCTGTAGTTACAGCTACTCACAAAATTATAAATGGTTGGCATGATTTCCAAGTAAAAGGTTCTGCATTTCTTGGAGGTGATGTGAATAAAAACCATCATCTTGCAAAATCCTCCATATGTATGTCGGTGCAGTACCGCCTGTCCTCAGGGAAATTCTGGGCTTTGCTGCACTTTATCCAGAACATTGTTTTCTCCAAGGTGTGGTTGCTCACATTCACTTTTTGAAAGGAGCCAATCTTCCACAAAATTCTGTGCATATTCTGAAATTTATTTCAGTGTGGAAATCTACAACCTGGATATTGTCACTGGTATTCTGTTCCAGCAGCCTTACTCTTTCTATTACAGAAAGTGTGTATAAATACATGTTGGCATAACTCATTCTTAAATGTTAGAGCAGTGTTCTGCAACCTTTCTTCATCCATGGCATACCCTAGTTTGTCAAAGACACATAAAACTTACAACTGGACTGAGCATTAAAGAATTACAGTGATACAAGTTCACTACTTTAGCACTCACATGACTAAGGTTACATCTTTCTTAACTCTATGACAGCATGAAATTGACCCATGGTTTATAGGACATTTCTGCATCAAATTACCTGTAGAACACACTCCTGAAGTTGGTTAACTCATTACAAAGCACCATGTGTAAGTAAAGTTTTGTTTATACCTTCAACAGGGAGCTGGGGTAGCTCAGTAAGTATAGTGACTTACAACAGACTGAATGTCTGGGGTTCAATCCTGATGGGAGCAGAGGATTTTTCCTTTAGCCTCTGCATCCAGACCGGCTCTAGGGCCTATCCAGCCTCCTATCCAATGGGTACTGGGGTCCTTTCCGAGGGTAAAGCATGGTCAGTGCGTGATACTGACCACTCACCCCATCTAGTGCCGAGGTTTAGAATGAGTAGGAGCTATACCTACTCTCCCCCTAAATGCCTACATGACATGTAGTGGAATAGTTTTCCTTTTCTTTTTGACGTAATACGTCTATGCGGAAGGGTCATTCGGCAAAAAAGCTTAACGAAGATGTGTAACGAAGTTGTGTAAGATCCATATCAACAATGTGTAAATATGGACCGACAACAATGGTCAGCTTTTATATGAACTTCTGTGTGCATTGTTATGTTACCTAAGAAACTAATTGTTGCATCATGTTTACTTGGTATTGTTGTGTTACATTACTGCCGTCAACAATCTGCTTTCGTTATTGTGGAAAGAGCTGAGCTGTGAATCGCTTGTAGAAGAAGTGTGTCGTAGACTATATAATTTTGTGCTGGTAAAAACGTTTTAGAATATCACAAGTACTTATCTTATATAAGAATTATTACATTACATTTCATAACATTTACGTCAGATTCTCCGGAACCGTGGTTCCACTGTCAACTTTTTTACCCTCTTTAACTGCTAATATGATTCCTTCATGTACAAATAAGCCTATCCTCAAGTGATGAACAGCATTTTCATATCCATAGGATATAAAATCTATTGGTTCAGTACCATTCTTATTCCATGTAACTTCCTGTACTCCCACAAAAGGAACTTATAATTTGCTAATTCTCTTCATACTGTTATCAAAGAACCAGACCTACTGTCTCCCAAAATTCCAAGTTCAAAATCACATCCAAACTTTCTTTCGTTTAGGATGTTCAACAGAATTCATCCTGATCCGAGGCCCTGTGTAACATTCCAGAACGTACATTTTTACAGTGACCACTCATTTCAATATCCTGCAACTGTTTGTGCAATATATCTGCAGCCACAGTCCACATCTGGTGGTCTTATCCTCCATCTGCAACCAGTGTGTGTACCATGCCACAGAGTAGAGTAGAGTAGAGTTTATTTACATTCCATAGATCCTTCTTAGGACTCAACCAAAGGATGTAGAACTTGTCACTTCACAACAGATATCATTGAATATACACTAAAGTAACCTCCATTTTTCGAACAGAATTAGCACTAACCAATATTACAGCACTCCCAATGTGACAAATATGCAGTCACTAAGTTAACAACTTCAAAACCTAAAATCTGTTAAAACTGTGGGGCAGATCTGCAAATTAAAAGTATGATTTGTCCCAGTTAAGTTTGACAGATAATTAGTCAGTAGAACTAATAGACTGCAAAGATACTCATAAATGAATAGAGACTTGTGTATTTAAACAAGGACTCTACAACACAATACTAAACAGTGCGCTTAATGCTTCTTGTATGCTGATCCAACCTCCTCGTCTCAATTCGCAGTCTCTTCTAAAGTCCCCCATTTAACTACCCAACAACACAATCCCACATACCCGAAACACGTAATACAGAAAATTACTTACATCGATGTAATTAATTACCAAAACTCACCCCGATAAACACACGTAGCATCAAACAACAAACCTAACAAAAATGGCGGTTAACCATCATATTTCCGTTCAGAAACACACTATTCGATAAATATCTCAGTGTAGCCAACGAAACAAATCGAATTTCCACGTGCACTATACTGAAACATCGGAATTTGAAAGCTCACCGCGACATTTCAGAGTGCTTACTGCCAATATCAGGACGAATAATTCCTCGTTTGCAATAAAGAACTATTTGAGCTACACATTTCTACTTCGCCTGTCGCACATGGGTATTGCTGTTTCTTTCTTTATCTCCATAACTTATCCACCTAAAAACTGAAAATTATTTCATATACAATAACACAATTCCTTTTTTAAAAAAATCGGTCTTCAGTGTCTCTCCTATATTTTAATAAAAATAAATGAGTAAATCATGTGTTGTATACAATCGTTTATAGGCACGCTAGAAACGAAAGTGTAATTATATTAACTGTTTCAAGAGTGGGAATTCTAAGACAGTCGGGAAATTGGTCATCAGAATAGAAGTAAAGCTGTCCCGCTATACGCCAAATAGGCGCTTGGTGGGGGGCAGTTGTAATTTTGCTGATACTTTATATAAACGACGCAATTCCTTTTTAATAACCAGTGGCTTATGCTTAGGAATTCGTTAATAAAAATAATTCCAACGAGTAGAGTCAATGTTTGTAAGGAGCACAGTTCATCATAAAATTCCCACATATTTTTGAAGCCGAAGCATTTTCTTAATTTCCTAGGAAATAGCCCCAGCACTCATAGAATAGGAGAGTCAAGAAGCAAAACGGTTTTAAAACAAAAAATACTAGTTTAGGTTCTCAGAAACGAAATTAACTTTATTGAGCACAGCCCTTGTTGAGAGGTTCATAGTCTATCATTTCATGAATTATACCACTTTTATGGTTCATTACCGTGTTCATAAGCGCCTGTTCGTTCTTAATAGCAAACCAGTCTACATTGTCGCCCCGCACTTCCTCAAGGATCATTTTAATATGAAAGTCCTATTTACGGCTGCGTTTTCTAAGTCGTCTAGTAACCGTCAACAATATCTGTACTCGGCATAAACTTTATTATTTTGGTACTTTTCTGCTGCAGGTTGTGCAACACCCTCTTTCCTAAGCTGTAGTAACTACGCTGATAGTCTGTAGTGGCAGCCATGATCTAACCTGAATTTCCGATTAGGGCCAAGAACGACACAAGCTACGTTGGCGCGAAATATTATCAAGCACAGATAATACGAACAAGGGTAACGTATTAGTAGGTGAGCAGTGTAAGACATTTGAGACTGGCCATGGAAGGGGAGAAGAGTGAAAATGTTGCACAGGAAGAAACTAAGAAAGAAGAAGCTTTTACTCATTTGGCTCAAGGAAAAAGACATTTATTGGTTAAGGATTACGACGAGGCAGTGACATCCTTTACTACGGCCTGTGAACTTTTGTCACAGTTGTATGGTGAACTTGCAAATGAATGCGGAGAGGCTTATTTTAATTACGGTATAGCATTATTAGAGCTTGCTAGAACTGAAAGTGGTGTTTTGGGAATTGAAGGTGAGGGTGAAGAGAGCCCGGAGAGTGAAGAAGAAGAAGAGGAGGACGCAGATAAAAAGGAATGCACGGCAGAGAGTGAGCCGAACAATGTAGAAAATGGAAGAGATAGTGGAAACGAGTCACATGAAAAGAAAATGAAGAGTTCAGCAGAAGCCGAGTCTACTCTTGCAGATAGCACAAACAGTACAAAAGGCAGTGAAGTTGAAAATAATAAACCAGGCGATGATAGTGAAGATGAAGGTGATATAAGTAATTTGCGTTTGGCTTGGGAAATGTTCGAATTGGCAAAAGCCATATTTAAAAGACAAGCTGAAGGTAATAAGCAGATGAATTTAAAACTAGCAGAAGTTCATCTAAAATTAGGCGAGGTTGGTTTAGAATCTGAGACCTATACACAGGCAATAGAAGATATAAAAACTTGCTTAGATATCCAAACACAAAACTTAGATGAGCATGACAGATGCATAGCAGAAACACACTATCAACTTGGCATGGCATATTCATTAGTTAATGATTTTGATGAAGCCGTTGTTCAGTTGAATCTAGCTCACCAGATTTTAGAAAAAAGAGTTGAATATCTCCAAGGAAGGGGAAAACAGGGGTTTTCAAATGTAGAACAAAATGAAAATCCATTTTATAAAATTGAAGATGAAATTGCGGAAATAAATGCACTACTACCAGATGTGAGAGAGAAGATCAATGATATGAAAGATTTCAAGAAAGAAACAAAGAAAGCCCTGATGGCTGGGCTTGATGCTAACAAAGAGGCTAAAGCAAGCTCTGAAAGTAGGCAAGGGACAAGTGCAGGGTCTTTTGGAGCATTTCCAGTCTCATCACAGCCAGAATCTGATGTTAAACCAGCATCTGACATATCGCACCTGGTGCGCAAGAAACGTAAGCTGGACCCAGATTCTTCTGAGGAAAATTGTACAAAACAGCCATGTCCTGAGGTGTCTAAGCTGGAATGAAGCAATGATCATAACAATGCACATTGTCAAACCATATTGTAAGAATCAAATTTATTTGCTTGAAATTTCCAAAATCTCATCTTTATTCAAAATTATATTTATTTACATTGCAGAAAAATATAATTCTCTATGGAGTTAAATGTAGCTTAGTTTGATCGTGCTTCATGACGCTTTGCTATAACAGGTATCCTATTTGAATAACATTTTTCTGCTTTGTGATTTAAAATATGCTTCCAAAATGTACATAAACATGATGTTGAGCACCACATTTAATTATTTTAATTACTTTAAGTCATTGTCTTAATTTATTTACTAGGCATTTCAATGGCAAAGATTTGGAAGCAAGTAAGTGGAGACTGAAATACAATTTTAAATGTACATTGGAATGACAGTATGGTGAAGGTAACGTAGTTATGCTCTTGAGAATGTTAAGAATATTTGTAGTTCTGAAATGTTGGTTATCTGTGTCTACTATATCTAAATTACCATGGTTCTACTAAATGTTGATAAATTTAATCAAAATCTTCCTGCCCATTTGTTTGGGTGAAGAAGTCAACATCTATATTTCTTCTGTTTTGGAACGAAGATAAATTTTAAGGTTTTATATATATCTGTGTGTAAATTTGATCAGTTATGAGTGAATAGTATGCTAGTTGCCAGTGAAAGATTCTACAAAGACTGATCAATATAAATCTGAGTCTTTGTGGGCAAGTTTTCTGCTAAGTACTCTTCCCACAGGTTACATATTTGTGGTATCCTAATGCTGTAACATTTCAACCATGACTTATGAGTTATACTACTGGAATATTTATATTTTAGCTTGAATTTGTCTTACAAGGGGACTGGTAATTGGGCTCCAGTTTTGCACTATGGCAGTGGACCCTCCTCTGACTTCATGGCCAAAGTATTAGGTGTAGACACTCCACCATTTCTTTGGAAAGGACTTTTATTTCTCTCCTTCCCTGATACTTCATATTTTTGTAAAATGTAGCTTTTTGGTGTGGTTGGCAGTAGCTCATTTGGCAACATGTTTGCTTAGGGTGCAGCTGACTTGTGTACCATATCAGGTAGTTTTTTTTAATCACCATGTATATCGTGGACATCAGATATGATTAATTTTTAAGTCTGCACTTATTCATTTCTTTCCTTCACATTTGGAAATGAGTAAAATTGGTTTCTCACAATGTTATGACTGAAATCATTACTGTGTAAAACCATTTCTGAATGCTATGCTTCTGTTGTTTTTGTAATGTGAATAAAGAAGGCAAATAATAAACCAAAGACTTACCTACTTCAGAATGAAACATGTACTGCACCACATGCAAGCATGCTACCATCTGAGCTGTTGCTGACCATACAAAAATGCAACTTTATGAGCATATGAAGCAACAACGAAGAAAGTGGAAAATATGACTTCTCCAAAGAAAAAGAGTGTATGTACCTAATATTTTGGCTAGAAAGGTAGAGGAGAGTCCACTACCATGTTGTGAAACTGGATCCAAATCAGAGGGTAACAGTCAACCTGGTCTCCTTGTGTTAGTCTTGCTTTTCCTGTATATGTGTATTTCTTACTGTGTGATTTGGTTTAGGGATAGTTCACAGATTAAGAGGTTTCTGTACCATGATAAACAGCTTAACTTATAACAGTGCTTCATTAAATTTATCTGTACCATATAACCTAAAAAAGGCATTTCAAGAGTTTTTAATTGCCTTCAGTTTTTGAGCTACAGAAATTGTAATTAAATTCTGCAAAACCAGCTTCGTAACTAACATACTCAAAGAGCAATTTCTGTTGCATGGTTGTTCTCTTGTCAGGTCAGTTTTTTATGCAGGATCATATACTTAAAAAATATTGATAAATTATAAATCTGGAAAGAATAAAAGGAAAGTAAAATGTACAGGCAAATGCTCTGCAACATAAAACCTATTAGAGTGTTGTATGATGCACAGTAGTTACATTTGGTCTTGTCCAGCAACTGTCTTCCTGTAATAGATTCTATAGCATGGAGATATTTTACCTGTTTTTAGGCTGTAGGGGGTGGGAGTGAGGGCTGAGTACATCTCTGTACAGCATGTGGTTTGAACAAGAGGAAACATGAATTGGTACCATATACTTTTCAGTGTTTAAAGCATTTGAGGAGTAATATTTTTTGATAAGCTGAATTCTGTGCATGTAACAAATTCATCCAGATAAGCTCACATTCCTGGCCTCTACCTGCCTAGTAAGTTGAAAGGCTCTATTTCTGAGATGGGAGTAATGGAATAGTGATTGGGAGAGGGAATGTGCAGCACAGTTAGCCCTGAATACATGTGGGGGGTCTGGTGAAATTTTGGGAACTCAGACTTCAATTTTTGCACAGAAAGTTTGTACCAGGACCTGTTTAGGTCATCAAACCAAGCCTGCTTTCAACAAGAAATTGCTGTGCCTTCAGACCAGCAGGCCCCCACATGTTGATTTCTAGAACTCAGGTTTGGGGTCATTTTATAATCCAGTGTAAATTGTAACATGAATATTCATTTTTGGTACAGCACATTTCAAAATAATTATTTGTTAATATTCCTGAAACATAGTGATATATATTGTGTTCATTCAGTGATTTTGACTTGCAGGTTAACTTTGTATTCTGCATAATCTGCACCTCAGTGAATGATCATCAAAATAAAATTCTGTTACAAACTGCATTGAATCCACTGCTAACAGAAACTTGCATATGGATGATGGATGGCGTCAAGTGTAGTAAAAGTGAAAATGAGTTTGTTCTGTCTTGTAATTTATATATGATATAAAAGTATTAGGATAGTTAAACAAACTTTGTTTTTGAGACAAATTTATATCACTTTTCATACGAAGTATTGAATACATTAATTTACAATGGATTTGTTAACTCCATATCAATACAACCACATTTATAATATAAAGTGACAAATAAATTTGTGTGTGTAATACAGTTAGGCAGTGAACCAAAATGTTAGTATAACAATTTTCTTTTTTAATATTACAACAGTGTGGTTTTGAAGCATGAAAGAATGTTGCCAACAAATGTGAATTATTTGTCCATTTGCTACCAGAAAGCACATGGGCCAAGGTCAAAATTATGTAATTGTGATACAGTAATGACCAGATTCTACAGATTAGTTTTAATGTTGGTTTCATTAGCGTTAATTATTACTGCTGTGATATATGAATTATTTTTTGTGAGTTTTCACTAATTTTTCTAAAATAAATGCAAGAGATTAATGATGATTAACTTTTCATAGAGGTTTGTGATTATTATCATTTGTTTTTGTACTCTTTTGTACTGTCTTTACTATCAACTGATACTTCAGACTTTGTGCATCTGAATGTAAGAAATATGTTTTGTGAATAAAACTTTGGCAGTTTACTACTTGAAACAATACACAAATATTTGTGTTGCATAGGTCAAAGAGGAAGAAAAAATATGTGATCAACACCCGAGAAGAACGCAGATACAATGATATCACATGTTTTTCAGTAAACCATTATCAGTTTGACAGAATTTAAGTACCTGGGTTCTAATTTAACAGAGAAATATGGAAACAAAATAGATATCAAAGCCTGAATAAATGCTGGAAAGATACTATTATGCCCCCCAAAAATTACTTAAATCATCACCGATATCTCGCAGGACATAAATATGAATTTATATAGCTGTGATTCGACCTACGGTGATGTACAGAGCTGAGACCTGGGTACTAGCAAATGCTGATGAAAATGCCCTCAATATCTGGGAAAGGAAGATCTTAAGGAAAATATAAAGACTAGTTCAGGATGCAGGAATGTGGAGAATAATAAAGAAATTCATGATATGTACAGGTTACCAAACTTGGCTACAGAAATTAAGAGAGCATGACTCCGATGTTGAGAGAATGCCAGCTACTAGAATAAAAAGAATTATAGTAGGAAACCTGAGGGAAGGAGAAAATTTGGGAGACCGAGGATAAGGTGGCTGGATGATAGGAGTATAGATCAGAATGGATGAAACTCGGAGGCCAAGGCCCTATAAAAGGGCTGTAGTGCCATGTAGCAGTAGTAGTGTAGGTCAAAACCACATAATTTTCTGCAACCTCAACCATTTAAGAACTGGTTCATAATTGTTCTAATGCAGTTAATTCACATTTTGGACATAGAAAATGCCAGGTCTCAGCTGCAAGTGCTGGAAAAAACATCAATGAATCACGCTATATGTCCAGTATATCTGCATGTTGCTGTGATTGTTGTTGGCTACAATTGACTTTGCAAGGGGAGAGGTCAATCTTGTATGGGCAAAGAGACAATGAAATGAAATTGCTGTATTGATGAGATCAGATATAAAATAGACTGAATTGAGTAAACATTTTGTGAGCTGCCACAATGTTGGTTGTCTGAGTGATGTGTTGGACTGCAGTGTTAATTAGTATTAAAGCAGAGTGAGGGGAATATCCTAGTTACACTATTGTTCTATTATTTTGGAAACTGGTTTTAAATTGTACTTCCTTGAGTCTGGGGACAAGTCTCTTAAGCAACACACAAATTTAGGCAAATAATGCATTCCTAGAAAATATATTCATTAAATTATGGTTGTGGGAGTATGCATACATTGGGTGGACTAACCATCAAATGGGGAATTAGAATAGTTAGTATTTCTAATTGGTACATATTTCTGTTAGCTTGAGATTACTAGCTACACTATGCTCACCTAGCATAGCAAGCAGCTAATTTAATATGATAGCACTTCCATTTGATACAATATATGAAGTAAAAAGTAAAGTAAATCTGTCCTGCTATATGCCATGTAGGTGATTGGGGGAGAAAAGGTATATAGTTAAAGAATGTAATCTTGAGACTTGCAAGGTGATGAAGTGGGGGTGAAGGAGGAAAGACAACGTCTGCCTTTAACGCTTCAGACTTCCTGCATTCCTTGCAAGTCTCAAGATTACAGTCGTGCACTGTAGCTCCTACTCATTCTTAAACTCTGCACTAGATAGGGGTGAGCAGTCAGTCACATCCTGGCCTGGGGAAAGGCCCCCCGGTACCCATTAGAAAGGAGGCTAGGTGGATCCCATAGCTGGTCTGGAAACAGGCTAGAGGAAAAATCTTTTGCCCCTGTCAGGGATCGAACCCTAGTCATCCAGTCCATAGTCAATCACTATAGTGACTGAGCTACCTCGGCACTTGATACAATATATAAAACGGTAAAATACGTTTGTCAAGAATTACACTGCTTTTCCTTGTCTGTCACCATCTGTTCACATGTTTCAACCCAGGAGATGCTGTAAGGATTTTGATAAGACTTTGTGACAGTATTTGTTCTCATGTTATGCAAGGTGTGGGAAGCAAACACTAGCTTGCAGAGGTCAGGATTTAATGTTATTTTCTGAGTAGATACCTGACTAAAACCTCAGGTTCAGCCTCTGGATACCTTCATAATCACAACACATCTTTTAGAGTGTAATACTACTGCTATCTAGTTATGTGGCAGTGTAGCTTAGCTAAATGTGGGGTGTAGAACATTCTACCCAAACAGTGAAGGAAGAAAAACTATTTATGGTAATATCAATTGAGGTGTTCTGGATTGTGATACCATTTAGTCTTGTAGGTGGTTACCAACGTTTTGGAGGAACACATCACTTCCATCTTCAACTTTTATTTCTGCGACATAGTAGGAACAACTACAGTTTGGTGTACTGGGCGCCAAGACACACACTGAATTATATAACTTGCTAATCTCGCTCTTTAAGTACCTACTATACACATCACAGCGGTAAGATCATTCTCAAATATGGGATCCATTTTATCCTCGCTGAGTTACAGTACGTATGCATCAGGATATTCCACATTTTGTGAACTGGTTACTGAAGCTTTTTTACAGCTCTCAGGTATTGAACAGGAACATGAGTTTATTCTCTGAACTGAATCTTTATTTCATATGATTCAATGCCCTGTTGCAAATACAAACCCTGAATTGAAAGGAAATGTTTGTATTCAATTTCTTAAGGTACTGTAGACATGAGAGACATGGCTACTTGATTCAACCACAATAAGGCTTACAGAAAACTTAGGAACTCAATTTCACAGTCATGCCTGTGGGAAACAAACAGGCAGATTGTGAGAAACTTTCTATTACTGTGTAAAGAACAAAGTACTATACAATAATATCTAAGTGAATGATAATGAAACATCCTTTCGAGAAGACAAGTCTACAGAAAATCTACAGATGTGAATAACAAAAAGTGATTATTATGCAGAATAAAAGCAAAAATGAACAACCAAAGCACCACTTATCACAAAAACAACATTAATGTACATAATAAAACAGCACCATATTACTGAAACTTCAAAACACATACTAATTATATGCGTAAGCCAGGGGTCCACAATCTCAGGCCTATGAAAGTTTAAGCCAAATATAGATTATATTAATTTTTACAGTACTATTAGTACACTTCAAAGTAGGTTTTGACTTCTTCTACTCTGAAAACATTTAAATGATCTGGTGTACTTCAAAATTAAAGCCAAAATCTTTACTCAGAATACAGCCAATTTCTGGGTCCCAGGTGAAGTCCCATCTGAGGATTAAAGTTGTAAATAACACACTGACTTGCCACGCTTATTGCACATCCCTGGGCAGTGATAAAGGAATCAGAACATTGAGAGAATGATAACTGTAAAAAAAAATCCCAATGCCACTATATCTATCACAAACTCCACAAGAACTATCCTGGAATTAAATTCAGGCCTCCATGGTGAGAAATTATGTCTAATAACCTGAGGTAAAACACAGCCATATGCAAATAAAATACAACATTTCTTGAAGAATTCTGCATAGTATTAAAATGGAGCACTGAAAAAATTACATACCTCTATATTTCAATTCATCCATTGCCACCTCTAAGGAAGTAGGATTTCTTTTAATGTGTCTGTTTATGGCATTTTTCATCATCAGCTTGTAGTGGGTCCAGGAATACAAGTACAGAGTGTACCAGAAAGTTTCTGCCAAACTTGTAGGCAATGTTCTTAGGGTCAATTTGTTGAGATAATCTAACTCAGTTCAAAGTTTAACAATTACAGAGATAACGACAGGTAAAGTTTTAAATAAAGTAAGCTGCTCTGCTGTCTGGCAACCCTGTGACATGCTGTGATGAAGTTCCCCCACATTACAGCCAACATGTGAGGAAGTACTCACAGAAGTGTCTTCCAAATTGTTGGACAGGTTGTGGCACACCCCAGGCATGGCCACTGAGGTCTCCAGAACTTACCTCTCCTGATTACTTTCTTCAGAACCACATGAAGAGCTTAGAGAAAAAAAGTTAACACAAGACCTGCAATGCTTCATTGTACCACTGCAGCAGTAGAGTACACATGGAATCAACTTTAGACCATTGCTAGAGCTACTCAGTCACTGCTTTAAACAATTACTCTGATTTTATTTTGTGTACATTATGGTTGTCTGGTTTTTAATAAATGTGAAAGAACTCACTTTCTTTAGAACTATTTGCCTTTATCTCTGTAAATGTTCAATTTTGGGCTGATGTATGTTTGATTACTATAACTCAAGCTGACCCAACGAACATTCTGTACAAATTTGGCAGGAACCTCCAGGCACATTCTTTATATGTGAGGTTCATATAATCTACAATGCAAATAATATTGAATGTTAGCGATCTATGATGTACATCTCATAGTAATACACACAGGATAACAATAAAGCAAAATGGCAAACTCTGACTTGAGTCTACAAAGAATAAAAGTGTCATACTGATAAAATTTTATCTGCTGTTTCAGAAGATTTTAACACAAATTTCTCCATTCTTTAATTGGGACTTCAATCATACAAGAGTGTCACAACATTTACAACCTATTTTCTCATATGTATAAATGGAAAGAAAGGTTTCCAGGAACAGCATTATGCATTATGTTGTGTGTAGGGTAACATAATATGCTAAGAAAGTAATAACTGCAATTAAATACATATGAATAATTCAACTGAAGTAAACTCCCAATTGTCTATGTGTCGATTACCTGGCTTGTATATTATCCACAGATGACTTTTACATAAAATGCAGACACCTGTGAACTAAGTTTTAGACATCTTTCTATGCCGGCTTTGGTTAGGGGTTGGTTGGTGGTTTTTGGAGGGTCTACAGAAGATATGGTTGAACAATACTTTTACTGGTGCTTTATGGTCAGTATTGGTGTGGTGGGGAGGTTTGTTACAATTGTTAAGATGGTGAAGAGAGGGGATATTACAGGAATATTTGTTCTTTTTAAAATATTAGTGTCTTCCATTACACTGCATTCTGCATTAGGTAAAAATGATAGTAAACATGGGATTTCTAAATAAGATAACCGAAAATCATACGAAAATTGCACTGAAAGTAAAACACAAGCTTTAGTTACTTGAAAATTTGAGAACAAAATTGGCAACAGAATTAAGCAAAGATTACAAGGTAGAGACCGAGTGACTGCATCCATGAAACAATGCTACTGGACTAACCTCCTCAGAACTGTTGCTGATGAAGAAGCCAGCCTAATAGGATTATGGGAAAAAATGGTTCAATGCTATACGTGGTGTATTTTAAGCATGGTCTTCCACAAATTCAGTAATTCTGGTTTAAATGTAAAGAAAACTTCCAAATCTAGATGAAGATGAAGATTTGCAAGGCTTTACTAATGAACAAATCAGCAAGTCCAAAATATTTTACATGGTCTGTGCAATGAGAGGTTCTCAAAATATCAATGAAGAAACAATGAAGAATAACTGCAGAGTAATGTGTATGAAATGACACATTATTAATGCTGCTGTGAAACAGGAGGATGGGAATGAAATTCATACTGCCATAAGGAAGGGTCTAAGAGTTCATAAAAACAAGTGGTCATTACAAATTATTTATCAAAATAATGCCAATCATATAAAGAAATGTAAAGCAATTTGTGAAGTTCTGTGAATGCACCAAACAAAATATTTTGGATTATCTGTGTTTTTCATTTATTTGTTTGTCTTCTTCCCTTCATTAGCCCAGATAACTGGGAGTTTACTGTATTCTACAATATGAATAATTAACTATCATATTTCCAGTCAATTCCAAAATATTGGGGACCCTCATGCCAAAAAACAGGGTTACAAAAATTCCCTTACATGTTTTATAAGTGTTCAAAATTCAAACTACACTCATCCAAAAAAATATTTCACTACAAAGAAACCAAGTTTCATTACCAGGTTCCAATAGCTGGAATGCTTATGACTTTATATAGGAATCGTATTGTTTTTTTGCAATGTCTGGATATAATGCACAATACTACTATGTAAAATAGGCCCAATAACTACATGTTTGTGTTTAGAATAGTTTGGCAATTGGACACTACTTGTAAGTTGTTGATTCCAATTAACTTTTATGTCTTACCCAACTTGGAAAAAAAAATACAACCAAGGATTAATATTTGTATATTAGTTCATAATACTTTTTCATAAAGATCAATAGATAGTGCTAAATCCAGACATAGCAGTGACAGTTCACTGACTATCAATATCAAATAAAGATTTCCTCCATCTCAGTTTCTCTGAGGTTATAAACTATATGAACATTTCAAGAGATTTCATTTGCTGACACTGTATATGAACAATAATCTAACTGTGAAGATCTCAATCATTTTTAATGTTATGACACTGCATTTCAGAATTAATACAACAAATATTATACAGTAGCAACAACATTCATGGCTATACTACCTGACTTGTTGAAGTGTATGAACATATCCTGACAACATTACGTTTATTATACACAGTACTTCAGTAAACAATATGCCTCACTGATACCTCCTAAGATTAACAAACCACATGCCATTTTATGTGTTTGATTCAACACCATCACAAAAAATGTTTAAAAAAATTGCTACTGAAACATGACCATAAAAAATAATTAGTTCTTTATTTATATCATATTAGGAATTTATGGATACATATTCTAAATTTCAGTTCATTAGTCCATAGGTACAACATACAAATTCATTTACCTAAAAGTATTCTTATAAAATTTAATTGCTATTCATTGGCATTTTTATGCTTTCAATACTTGTTTCCTCTGTACAGCACAAGTGAACTGAACACCAGTGTAACAAACCAATAAAATATTACCAACTCTGTTGATTGTTCATTTGTATTTATCACAGGTGACAAGCTCTAACTTCCAATCCACTATGCCCTGTACCACACAATTCTGTTTTATAAAAAAATGTACACAAAGAAACTTTTCATTCCCACAAAATTTATTGTTAATTTATCATCACTTTACTTCGCAGTTCAGTATAACATTTTTGTTTTTGGAGCTCTTACATTCAGAGAGAAGATACAAAGGAAAGGCACTAAGACATGACTCCATGATATACAGAATGACAGATTGTCTCATTATTACAAGCCATACTTCACAAGATATTTCTACACATCAAAATAAGCAACAAAGTTTGAATGAATATATACCTTGAAAGAATTCCTTAGAAAGTTGCAACTGTTTTAATCTTAATTTCGATGGTCACATCTTCAAGTGTGTTCAACGATAATTAAGATAACCATAACCACTAATTCACGATGCTAAAATCTGAGGTACTATGACAAGTCACATCAAATTCCAGCCCACATATTGATGGAAAACTGCTGTTACTGATGATCAGGTCAAATCACACGAGCATATTCAATGACCACACATCTTCATTGTGGATATTGGTGATACATCTGCACTTTACAAGACCTGCAGTTTTATGCCTACCTGTGCAAGAGTTATTGCCTGACATCTACTGCCAATGTCCTGCGCCGTAGCCGCGCGGTCTGAGGCATCATGCTTCGGACCGGCGATACGGAATGCGCGCTGGTTCGAGTCTCGGGGGAGAAGAAATTTTCTCATGAGCTCTAGACCAGTGTATGGGACCGGTGCCAACCCAGCATTGTGAGGAAATTGGGGAGCTACAATGAGTAGCGTAATCCGGTCAGGAAAACTAGCAATGGCTGAGGGTTCGTCGTGCTGACCACACGTCACCCTGTATCTGGTTGGATGATCGTTCACCTCTGCTTAGGCATGTGAACGTGAGGCCAGCAGTCAAGCTAGTTGGCTTTGGCTCTCTGGAGCTGTTACGCCACGGATTTAATTTAAATTAATTTTCTACAGCCAATATTTTCTTCATGGAACAATCATGCTTTACTAGGACTAGAATCACCAACATTCACAACAGATTTACATCAATTTTAGGTGACTTACTCACAGGACTTCACATTTTACTGCTGACCATGATTAACTTAATTTTTTAACACACTTGAGACGACTAGTAGATGATGTTCCCTACAAAATGTTTCTCTGCACATGGTTTCAACACAATGGTGCTCCACCATACTACAGCTGTGCAGTCTGTCAGAAAAGTGTCCTGGATGCTGGTTTGGTTCTGGACATGAAATTCCAATTTCCTGGCCTGCACATACACATGACTTGAACACTCTCAACTGTTTTCTATGGGGATATATACAAAACAATGTCTATGCTACTACAGTTGATACTAGAGAGGAACTGTGGCATCAAATGAAACATTTTGCATGTGAAATGGACTACCTGGGATCTTCAAATGCATATTAATTTCTTTTTCAAGAAAAATAACATCTGCATTATTTACTGATTTTTTAAATGCCAGTATGCTAATGAAACAAGCAGAAAAGTGGGCATGAATTTTATGAAGGTGATGATGGGATAAGCAGAGGTAATTTTGAAGTGATATTTTATGTTTTGTGGGACATCAGAAAAAGATTGAGAAGAGAAGAGAACTATAAGAATTTGAAGACTTCTGCGATATTCACGAGGATGGGAAATAACATTTCTGCTTTAGAACATTTTAACTATTACTAACAACTGACCGACATAGGTTGGTACGTTTTCCTATGCTTCTTAAAGCAGATAATGTCACATGATATTATGATTATGAATGATGAATTGGGAATGCTGTGGTACTTTCACATAACTTGTTGTAAGGAATGAGGGAACCAACAGAAAACCTCAGTCAGAATGTGGTCTTGGGCTGAGAACCAATTCTGTGATGTCCTGAATAAGAATACTTGTTAATACTTAGGCTATAGAACTTCAGTATGAATTCTTAAAAGCCATATCTACTGACGTTTTTCTGATCTCCCTTTTAAACATATGGATTTAAGTATCATTTTTCTTTAAGAAAAGAAAATGATTGTCATACCTTTAGATTTACCTGTACTATTTAGATAGAAATGTCTCTGTATACCTGACCCATAGAATATGGGAAGTTTTTATTTAATGGAAAATTCCCACTCCTAGATTTCAAAGAGACTACTTTCATTATATAATTTTTATATGCATGCTACATAACTCTTATATGTATATTACTTGAAAGTTCCATAAAACATTCACACTACAGTCACTGTAATCAGGGTGGCATTGACCATATGAAAACCAAGTATTTTACAATGCAATGAAAAATTTCTGAAGTGCTCTTTATTTTATGCAGCTTCATCATTAATGTCAGACATTAAGTTAAGAATTTAACATGAATTTAACAGCTTACAATATATACACTTCTAATTTCCATTTAGAAAAATTAAACTGCTATCCACAACAAAATAAATAACTGTAAAGAAAGTTTCATATTTACTTCAGTTCTGAAGTAATAAGCAGGCAAAGGAATGTTTATGATTAATTTAAATTCTGCTTTAAAAATCTGGATGTCTGCAAAACTGTAATGACATTAATAACTTTTCGTATCTTATCAGTATCATGGACTCAAATTTGTAGTGCTTTCTTTATGTGTCTAACACCCTGCAGCCCTTCATAACCAATACAAATGTCAAATAATGCAAAAAATATGCTGAATTTTCACCAACCAGTGGAAGTATGTCAGACAGAGAAACAAAATGTTAAGACTTCTTAGTTGCCTCAAAATTATTTAATATTATGAAAATATACCCTTCTAATAATTCACAGTTAACAAGCAAGCACACAACCTTTATGCTGAAGTTCATTGTTGAAAAACAGTCATGATATTTTGCTACATAGAACATCCAAAGATGTCACTTTATTTCTTGTGTATATACACTTTTATCCTAAAAAAAATAGTTATAAAACAAATCAAAAGCAGTTTTCATTTCACAACAAATATCTTCACTCGTGGAATGATAACTTATCTTTCATTTATGAAAAACAATAAATACAAATGCAATTTAATACTTATTATAGTGAACCAAGCTCTCCTGCCAATATTATTTAAATTGGTCCTCACAAGACTACTTCATACTCTACAAACCATAAACACGACACTGGGTCTCCACACTGTTGCTGCATGCTCTAGAAACAACCATCCATCATCTTCTCCCTTTTCAGTGGCACAGAAGAGGCCTGTACGATTATAAAATGTTACGATTAACACCAAGTGAAAGTGTAAAATGAATGCATCTGAACATTTTCTCAATGTACTCTTACTATACGCATAAAAAAAACATGTTTATAAAACTGCCTAATTGCTAAGCATAATTCTTGATGCCAGAGGATACTTTTGGGTAGAGGCCAAACCATGTATGAAATCTGAGAAAATTATTTGAAAACAGGAATATGTTAATTTTCTATTTTTTATACTTCAGCATAAGCAAAAACACCTTATGGGTCCACCCACATCTGTCTGTCTGGTGTTTCGTAATATTTTTCCGACAATGACCTAGGAGCACACAACTGCAACAGTGTGGACCAAGAATGACTTCAGTACAAACTCTTTCAACAATTATCTTATATCACACTACTGAAATGATTATGTTGGACCACATGATTGCAACAACAACCAAAAAAAATATTCCCTTTTTAAAACATTATTTTTTTTTAGAATTTTTAGAAAGGGAAATGGTGAGACACCTTTCTCTTATATTGTGCTGACAGGATGATCTCCATGTTATGGGCCTCCCCAACCCATACACTGTTTTTTTATACTACTGATATTTGAAGCTGGAGTATAAAAAGAAACTTCACATGATATTAAAATAATTCTATAGCATTTACATTAACATACCTGTTTGCTAACCTTGCTATTGCAACATCCCTGCACTGGACTTGAGTGTTGTGTCTGCATTTACCAATGCTAGGGATCCAACTAGAGCCACCAGAGCCCGATCCAGCCAAGTAACTGGATTGGGATATACTAGACCTCCTTCATAGAAACCTAGATGTCCTCCATGTGCAAGCTCCAAATACAAAGTATTTCCGTGTTCCACTGGAAAAGTACAAGTAAAATATAGAACTGTACAACTTTCATAATCATGCCTTCTCAATTTACAGCTCTTATTTTTTAGTAGCAAGTTGTAAATAAATACCAACAAGCACAAAGATTAGACAATTTAAATGATTCATTTGTTACTTAACCTTTACCATTTGTGTGCTGTTCTGTTACGCCCATTCCACTTGGACTTACACAACCCAGCATATTGCACTTGTAGGCCTTATTTAGAGACATTTTATAGTAGTTATAACATGTAATTTTGTTCACCTCTCTGTACATTATTTCATTATGTTTTCCAGCTGAGATGCTTATATCATGTTTGTAATTTGTTGCACCTAGTCTTTGTAGTTTTCTGGTGATTATGGGATGAGGCAGTGAGTGCATATGGAAGGTGAAGACCCATAATCTGACATCTGTATTCTATTCACACTAGTGGGAAACAGAAAATGCATTTCCCTTAAAAAAACACACTTTCTTCCCTAATGAATTTTGAGTAATAAAATTTATACTTAACAGGGGCTAATTTTGGAGACTTTACTCTCATAAAGAAATCTAAAATGACAGCAAAAGTTTGCTTGACAAAGACACTACGGCAGAAAATGATGATAATGTGACTGGAAGCTGAGATGATATTTGGTCACAACCATGACATCTATGGAATTCTGGTGGTGTCCATCCCTTCACTGGAGCTCTCAGTGGATTTAAGACACAAGAAGCACCCCATGTGAACAAAAATTCTGCAATAGTAAGTCTTTTACCCTTATTCAGAGATGTGATCCAATTGCTGAAAACACTATAACCAATATTTAGGCACATAAGACAATGACAAGAGACTCTCATGACATGATGTAACTGTCCAGGACATTATGTATTTTTTGGTTCTTATCATATGAACATTTACAATAACATAACGAAAAATGTCTTTTTCATGTATCGAGATATATGTATTTTTGCAACAATATGAATCAACCAGACAAGACTGACAGGAACTATGATAGATTCTGGAAACTATAATCTATATTTGATATTCTCCATGACACCCACATTACATTTCACAATAAAAGTAGTTCTACTACACGCCATGTAGGTCTTGACCTCGGCACTAGATGGGGGTGAGTGGTCAGAATCACACCCGCGCTTTACCCCCAGGAAAGGACCCTGGTAACCATTGGATAGGAGGCTGGGTGGGCCCCAGAGCTGGTCTGGATGCAGATGCTAGAGGAAAAATCCTCTGCCCCTGTCAGGGATCAAACCCCAGTCATCTAGCCCGCAGCTAGTCACTATACTGACTGAGCTATCCCGGCTCATTACATTTTACAATTCATACGAATAATCAGCTGTATATAAAAATCACTGAGCTGTTCAAATAAGAGTTGTTTTCAAGCAATACATTCCTAAGAAACATAAATGCTTTGGTACAAAGATTTTCAAACTTTGTGACAATACTGGCTGGCTACACTTCCAATACATATGGGAAATGATGGCAAAATTTAACATAGATATTGAAAGCAATATACACATGAAAGTGAAAAGTCTCACAAGAGCGGAAGGCCGTAAACTTTACATGGAACATATTTTCTCCCCTCTAGAATTATTTGATTCTTTGGACATATAAGCTATTAACTGTTGTGGAACTGTCAGACAGAACTGTAAAGGAGGCATGAATCTATGATAATCATACATTAAACTGAGGTGAGGCAACACAAGAGGTGTGACAATTATGTTCCTGGAATGACCCTGTTCAAGCTATATTTAATTACAAACACTAATGGCCACTGTTACCTTCAAATTAGCCTCCTTGGACACTAATACACTTCATAAATTGGTGTTTCCACTCCTCAAAACATTTTTAGAACTCCTCTTCTGGAATGCTATTTAGGATGGTGAACACATGTCCATGAATGTAGGCAATGTTTGAGACAGTGTGGCCCTTCAAAGCAGTCATCAGTTTTGGGAATAGCCAAAAGTCACATGGTCAAATCTGGCATATGATCCAATTTCAATATAAATTTTTTGACCCAAAACTCCCAGACAAGTGCACCATGAACAAGGGCATTATCATGATGCAAGATCTAAGCATCAGGTCTTTTCAAATGAAAAGCCTGACATAACCTTGCCAATATTTCCAAATAACAACAACAATCTTGTTCCACATTTTCAACTGTCCAGTGAGTTTTCTGATGTCCACTTCTTTCATTATCTTCATGTCTTCCAGACCCTCTTTAAAACTTTTATGCAACTCAAAGACACTCAGCCTTTTCATAGCATCAACACTAACATCTGCAAAGTTTCACTCACGCTTTTGCCCAGCTTTGCACATAACATGATGTTAATGCATCGCTCAAAGAACAAAATGCAAACATATCTGATGTTGATGCATAATAGACTGAGAATGAAAAGTAACTTCTACATATGGGCATTTGGAAACTCATACAGTGCCAAATAAAATATCAGATGTATAACATACACTGATGATTCTTTTCTTGCATATAATTTCATTTTTAAGTGTTCTTCATGCTCTAGCATGAGCAAAGAATATCCTATGGGCCTATCCATGTGTCTATTATTCACACATTAGCACATTCATAATCAGACAGCTGCATGTAACCTAGCTGTATCAGCCAGCCACTTTTAAAGAAGGCAATGATATATGAAGGTTAACCATAGAGTGTAATTCAGATATTGGTTTGGTAAATTATTTAATTGAAACTGATGCAGTTATGTGTTTATAAATTGAGACAATGGGCTATAATATGAAAATGAGCCTATATACTGAGATCAGGCACTTTAGTTACCCTCTTAGCCACCATAATGCTCATCAAGATGACACAATGTCTGACTCTTATCAGTTTCCTTTTTTCTTGGTTTCTTAACTTACTGAAATGTATCTTTTAACAACCTTAACATGTCAGCTTCAAACACAGCCATGAAATGTTAATGTCTACAAAGAAGTAAAAGAATTACAAGCTTTCAAATCTTGTGAGGTACAACAATAACCAGTTAGTGCATGAAACACAGAAAAAGAATAGTGAATTCCCACTATCAACATGTTAATATAAATTGCTGACATGCCAAGACATTATACTTCATAGGAATCAGTACCTCCAACTAAGAACATACATACTGGTTTCATTAACTCACAAGCAAATTGTCTGATTGGCTGCAGCAAAGCTTCGGGAACTATGGGATCATCACGAGCATTGATGAAGATCATAGGTATAGCAATGTCTTGTAAATAGTTGACACAGCTACTCCACTGATATAATTCAGTTACAGATTTGAAGTTATGGACTTTCCTGCACATTTAAACACAGTCATATAATAATATTTCATGTTGAACAAAACAGATACATTTTTAACAGGACAGTTCCATTAAATTCAGAAAAAATAAAATTTAAATTCAACTCAGTGCTCACCTAGTGTAGGCATCATCTAGTTCAGGGAGGGTGGCTGCTGCTATAATTTCTCTTTCAATCAGGTTGCAACGCCGCTTCACATCATCATGAAGCAAGACATGACGATGTTTAAGGATGATTGATTTCATACTTTCTGTCATCACATACAGGTAGAATCTTCTAAAGTTCTGCCAATTAAGTAGCCACTTTGTACCCCTGAGAAACATGACAACTGTTAAAAAGTATATAAACTTCAGCAAAGTGAACAAGGAGAAAGAGCACAAACTCACCTACAAATTCTGTACTAAATGTCAACAATTACAAACACGGTGATGGTGTAGAATTCTGAGGTTATATATTGACATGATATCAAAACTCTGTAAGCTTGTTTTCTTATAAAATAAGGAAAGCTACCACTAGTACAAATACTGATTAAGTTAGTTTTATCAGGTGTGTATCTTCTGTCCTCCCTCACTGCTTTTGAATAATTTGGAATGAAAGAGTTTTATGAAGTTTCCTTGAATATCATTCTACTGCAGGCCACCCTTACTTTGAGCTTCTTTCATTTTCTCTAACACTGATAACATAAACTTGGTGGACGTGCAGACTTCCGAGATGGAAGCAGCACTAGCATACTTATACAGGGCCCTCATACGAGGTGCGATCGGAAAGTTTCGAGACTGAGCGTATAAAAACCCGTACACTTATCTCAGGTATTAAATTCATCCATCACCCTCGAAGTAGTTCCCCTGGGAGTGAACACAACGATCCCAGCGCCACTGCCAAGCCTGGAAGCATCCCTGGAAATCTTTCTTTGTCAGCCTGTCAAGCACCATCTGCGATTCTGCCTGAATCTCTTCTATCGTCTCAAATCTCCTTCCCTTTAGCTGAATTTTCAACTTTGGGAAGAGGAAGAAGTCACACGCAGCTTAGGAAGGAAGTTGCGGTCGGTTCTTGCAAGATC